GCTCATTATGTGCGAGTCATGGCTTTTCTCCTGGGAAATGATTATCACTCTCATCATCTTCCCGCCGCCCTGACCCGTTACAGCTTAATTGACGATGAGCGACTCCCTCAAAAGTTTAGTTTTGGCTTAATTTTCTCTTCGGTCCCCCTGGGATCTGACTGATATACACCATGAAAACATGAAGAAATACAAGAATGTCTGACAAATAGGTCTGTCCCATCGCAATAATTTCAGAGCGCTGATCTGATCTGTGTGATGTGGGTGGATTTCACGGCAGCAGCTAGTGGAAACCTGCAACCAAAGCTGCTGCAGGGAGGCCCTGATAACAAAATGAATTTTACAGACCAGTTTTGGCTTCGCTAGAGTCTCTGCTGTAAATACTGCTTCCTTTTATGATGATTCGGACCGTAAATCCTGGAAAAGGCCAACTCTGTTCAAATTCCCACCATGAAAAATGTCAGATCTAAATGCAGTGTATGTCAGGACGCATCTGCTGGTTTTACAATAACACTTTTAGGACGAGGTTTTATGGATCAGCTTGTCCTCTCTGTCTTTTTCTACTCAATATCAGCATCCATCTCCACTTATCTGCCACCTCTTTTTGTTGCTCCATCCCTTTAAGAAAGTCCTTCATATTTTTAGCCATGCTTGCAACATGATTCCTGGAATGACACAATCACTCTGTTCCCCAATCAGGCTCGGGTTTTAGAGGCACTAAGAGCAATTACACCACGTCCTGGTTCAGCCTCCTCCGTTAGTCCTGAACAGACCAAACCGTCTAAACGGCTATGACACTGTCCCGCTACGAGTTTCAAAATAAGCTATTTAATCTCCTCATATTTAAATATTACTGCTGTCAGACTTTGTTGAGGGTAAAATTCAGATAGGAAAAGTATCAGTTTTGATGCAGTTCTTTAAAGAGTAACTGAACCCCAAACTTACTTTTTTTTTGCACATAAACTGTATAATTGGGTCTTTACAAATGCAATCTTTCTGTTTCTGTGCATTTTTGACATATTTGTGTAAACTTGATTAAATCTAAATTCTAGGTCTAAAAACACCTTAGTGCTGCCCCCTGTGGGTTGAACAGCAGCTACTGCATTTTAAACTTGTGATTGACCGGGGCTGGAACGATTTCACGTCATCGGTACAGTCTCCTCCCACACCCCCTCCCTCCCTGGATGGAAATTCCCCACACTTGACCATGCCACTCTGTGCCTCCTGGCAACGCCCACTTTGATGGCTTTTTTCAAATCTTGACTAGGGGTGGAGTTACATTTTCTGATGGTGTGCAGTCCCTCTTTAAGGAAAGCACACATCTTGTGAAAGAGGTAGAGCTGAAATATATCAGGAGTGATGCATGTGGAGTGATTCCTCTACTCTTACCTCTGCATGCATCTGTGTCTCTGCCTAAAAACGGGGTTCAGACATGTTTACCTGCTGCTCAGAGATGCATTTTGTTTTCCTTGACTCCTAATTCTGAGAAAACAGAATTGGTGGTTGTCAGATGAACGGTGCTGCTGACTTTTCAATGTCTCCTCTAGTCAAGTCCCCCGAGTGGTTGGCTTTTCTGCAGACGATCTAAAACCACAAGAGGAAATAGAAAATTTCACTCTTCAATTATCAGAAAAAGCCAAAAGAACAACAGTTTGAGCTGTAATTAGATTTTCCTCTCTGTTGTTGGAGGATTACTAAAACAGTTTTTTGGTGTCTGTGAGCGGTTTTTGAGTTTTTGCATAAGCAACGTGGAGATTTTCTCAGACGGACTGAAAAGTGACCTGACAGGTTTTGCTTGTTTAATTTACCACTGGTTGAATTTTCTTGCTTAGTCAGTGTCTCTAAAGCCTCCTTCATTGTTGATTACTCTGCACTATGCAGGGAATCAGATTGCTCACGTTCATTTTGTTATCTAATCTTGTGTGTGCACCTTTGTGCGGCTGGTCAGATTTCTGACAAGTCTGCAGAAACCTGCAGCGCTCTCCCTCTCCCTTCCTCTTTTGTCTTTTTCATTCTTTCAAGCTCTCCAGCCGCCTGTTGTCCGGCCTCCGTCTCCTTCCCTGTTATCATCGGTCCTCCTGTCTCACAAACTGGCTTTGATTTTTATCGGTTTTCTCTCATTCTTCTGGTACTCCTTAACAGCTCGATGCAAGAGGCCTCATTCATTTTAATTCACATTAGGAAAAGGCTCTTTAACCTTTCCTGAAGATTTAAAAATACAAAAGCTGATGCAGCTGTGTGAGTAAAGCAAAATTAGCACTTAAATATGTTTACACTTACTTCAGCACTGCCATTTCCAGCTGATACACCTAATACACGTCTATGTGAGCTCCTGCTGGGGGTTGTTGTCATCCTCTTCTGAAGGAATGCACATTTTGAGATTTCTCAGGCTAAAATAAAAAGATGAGGCCCGTTGTTGCATTTGAAGACACGATGAATGCAAAAGGTATCAATAATATAAAACTGTATTTGATGTGAAGTGGTGTGTGTGGTGTTTTGATTTTGTGTTACACTTTGTTGGACACATTTTTTAAATTGAATTTATTATCGACTATAATGGAGAAAAACGTTCAGTTCAAATTTTTTTGTCCCGTTATTTAAAGCATTTTCAACGTCGGTTCTCAAAAAAACAAAATGAAGCAAAGAAATTCTAAAAAAGCTCTTTAAAAATATTTTTTATAAACAAGCTTCTTTTGCTTTGATGCTTTCATTCATCAACAAAACAAAAGCTTGAATCTTGATACCAACATAAAAAAAGTTGTTGCTGTTGTGTCTCCTTATCCTTGATGCGTTCCCATCACGCTGGCCAGCTGTTTTCATTTATGAGGACATATTTTAGCATTATTCTTATCACAGCTCTGTGTCTGCAGCACATCAATCACACCTCAGTTCCATTTTAATTTCAAATGTAGTCACTTCCTCCAGACTTGATGCTTTTTCCCAGCTGAATGTTTAGATGAGAAATAGTTTTAGGAACTTGCTTTGTGTCATTTCCTCTTTGCCTCACTTCAGATCAGTGAGGAGAGAGAGAGAGAGAGAGAGAGAGAGAGAGAGAGAGAGAGAGAGAGAGAGAGAGAGAGAGAGGGAGTGAGTGAGTGAGTGAGTGAACGAGAGACAGGAGTGAGAGAGAAAGAGAACGAGAGACAGTGAGTGAGTGAGTGAGTGAGAGAGAGAGAGACAGTGAGTGAGTGAGTGAGTAAGTGAGAGAGAGAGAGAGAGAGAGAGAGTGAGAGAGAGAGAGAGAGAGAGAGAGAGAGAGAGTGAGAGAGACAGTGAGTGAGTGAGTGAGTGAACGGGAGTGAGTGAGAGAGAGAGAGAGAGAGAGAGAGAGAGAGAGAGAGAGAGAGAGAGAGAGAGAGAGAGATTTTCACATATCTGTGTAAAGTTTGAAGCAGCAAAGTGGCTTGTAATTACTGCTACTTGAATAAATTTGTGTAATTACATCAAATTAGAGGCTTGCTTGTTTTTTTCCTGCAGATATTTCTGTCATCTCTGGCTGCTGATTGGTTGGACCTCCCATGAGGATCAGGGTGCTTTTCCTGTCACTGTTTGTTATTCAGCAATTAGTTTCTGTTCAGAGCTGAAAATCCTGATGCCCAACACAAACCCAGAGACAGATGTGTAAACTCCCATCAGCAGGTGATTAACAGGCTTTAGCAGAGCTTGATGAGCTGCAGAGCAGGTGAATCAACCACTGTATCAGAAGTGTTGAAGCAAACACATGCAGGATACTGGCCCTCGAGGACCAGGGTTCCCCACCCCCGATCTAAATGAGAAGCACTGATGTGTGTTTCGACCACGCCAGTCACGTACTTGAAGATTTATCAAAGTTAGCTGAGTTTACATCCATTTTTCCTCTATTTTCTCTGTGTCTTGTTCGATGACGTCACTTTCGTGAAGCGCATTTGTGGTCCTGGACGTATTTTCACACAAATGCATGAAAATCATATGTGAAATCCATGGCACGTAACAAGCAGGATTAGAAAATAGCGTTCATGTTCTGTTCTTCCGAGGACCCGTGGTCCGGAAGTAGATGGGCATGACTTTGGCTCCCCATAAGCCCTAGGCCTATTTTGATGCCTATTCCTAGAAAAATGGTAAAAACTTGAATTTAATGATAAAAATAGTTTAGATAGCCTTGTAGTGTTTGGTTTGCTGATTCATTTGATGGGAATTATTACTATTTCTTCTGTAGTGTGAGGGTTTTTTGGGCCTGTTAAGGAACTGACATCACAGGGTCCCCCACCTGGGGGACCCTAGGGCTAAAGGGGCTAGTAACTGCTTCACCATGTTATGCATTACTAAGCATACTAACATTTTAATGTTGCAAATCTGCAACGCCTGCCTCCAGAGGGTTAAATAATAAGGACTTCATTTCTGTTTTTCCATCATTGTTTTACAAAGTAAAATACCAAACATTTTCTGTGTGGTAGTGAAAGTCACGATCTTTAGAGAGTTGATCTGGTTCAGGTGTCTGAACAGGAGAGATTTTGAGTTCAGCCATTGGGAGCCGGTGTCTGCGAAAGGCCTGGAGGGTGAAAATGAATCAGAATCAGAGTCAGAACAAGCTTTATTGCCAGCGCTCCAGCAAACCAGAGCATAGGAACTTGACTCCACAGCACAGCCTGACCAAGGCTACACACACACATGTAGACAGAACAGATACAGGCAGACCGCGAGAGCAGCCATAACGGCGCTCAAATGAGCAGGATCATTTCCACCTGAGGTGTTATTACATGTTGAGGGCTACTGCACGTCAGTAAAGTCTGTTCCCATAGAGACCAGCCTTTGTAGAAATTATGTTGTAGAGCGATTGGGAAGAAACTCAACATTGTTTCCACTGACAGGTCTCTTATGTGTCATTCTGCACACTTCTTAAGATTTGAATAAAAATCAAGACGTCTGTAGTCAACACTGTTTAATTTTCCCATCTTTTTTAGATGATTATATTATTTTATTTTAAAAAGTGCAAAATGAAATAAATATATCTCCTTTCTTTGTAGTGTCTCTCTGGGAATGATGGTGTTGCCACTGGTTCCACCTTATTTGTCGCCATGACGATGCCATTTAGCCCCCTGTCCAGCGACGAAGAGCAACAAAGGATGCTAAGTAATAGTAGACATCTGTATCCTGGGGCAGAAGACGAGGAAGAAGAGGAGGAGGAGGAGGAGGAAGAAATGGAAGAAGATGAGCGTGATGAGGATGGAGGAGAGGAGAACGGCGAGCTGGAGGGGGAGGATGATGATGATGATGATGAGATGGTGGAAGAGGTCAGGAGAGGTGGCCTGTCTCGGACGGGCAGGGGGGAGGGACACAGACAGTCGGGTAAACTTGGCGGGAGACCCACTGGAGATCGACAGACCAGGTCAGGGAACCCTGGACACACCGCAAACCCCTATTCGTCCAACCCTGGACCCACGTACCAACAACCAGCCAATCAGGTGCAGCAACAGCAACAGAGGAGGCTAAAGGAGCGCACTGCCAACGCCGTGCCATCTGAAGACGCCCACATCGCCATGATGGTGTTTCGCATTGGCATCCCAGACATAAAGCAAACGGTCAGAACACACACACACACACACACACACACACACACACACACACACACACACACACACACACACACACACACACACACACACACACACACACACACACACACACACACACACACACACACATAATCACCAAAGTTCAAAAACTTATTAAGCGTCAGTCAGATACATTTTTTTCATCAGCATAAAGTCTTCATCCTCTTCAAGCAGGTTTCAGATGTGATGTTTTACCATCCGTTTGAATCTAAAGGGAGGATTTAAAACAAACAAACACATTTGGAAGGCGACTCAAACTCAGATAACGTATCTAATTAAATGTTTCATCCATTTTTAAAATTATGCTTCATGGAAAAGGATCAAACCCAACCTGGTTCAGGTCTACTGAAATCAATCGAGTGGTCGTTGTGTCAATAAGGCTGCAGCAAAGGTTTAGCCACAAGCTTATCTCCCAGCTAGCAGCAAAACACAAAGGATCAAATCAAATAAAAAAAAAGTAGAGCAGACTAAAAGTAAAATTAATAAAAGAATCTGACAGAATGGATTAAATGAAGGTGCCAAGCTGGGTCTTCAGTCTTGTGTGGAAAACAAGATAAAGCCTTTTTAAAGGACAATCACTTGTTTCAGAGCTTAGAAATGTAAAAACATCTGTTCATCATGTTTAACCTCAATGTTCCTGATAAAATCCACTGAAACAAGTCTTACTTTGGATCAAACATCGACATATAAAAATGTGGACATAGCCCACCCATTGCGCCGCCGGAGGGCAGGCTGAAGTAAAAAATGGGAGATTCCCACCACTGATTTGTTTACAGTCACGCCCAAACAATCGAAAAATGGGAAAAGAGGTGGAGCTGAGGGTGGGGCTGTTACATTTGGAACAGGACTGCAACAAATGAAACCACTGTAGCTGCTAGCTAACTTTGCTAACCCAAGAAGCTAACAATGGCTCCGAGGACAGCAGGGATGCCCGCTTGCACGGCCGACTGGCTCCCGTGCGAGGCTGTGGTCATGCAGGTCGCCTGTGGAGATCTAATACAGACTAGGACTGTTAAATTACAGAGCCAGACCGCTGTGACCGAGAGCCCATGCCTTTTGGATCAGCGCAATCTCCACAGTTGAAGATCCGGGTGTTTTAGCAAGAAAATTGCAGTAGAGCGACTCCATCGTGAAGGCACCTCCGGCCTGCTTAGTAATGAAATCATTAGGGATGTCCCAATCATGCTTTTTTGCTCTCGAGTCCGAGTCATTTGATTTTGAGAATCTCCTGATACCGAGTCCCGATCCGATACTTTCGGTACATAAAAAAAAAAGAAAAAGAAGAAACAGTTCCAGAATGTTCCTTATTTTTTAAATTTAATTACGTTTTTATTTTAATTTTTAACAACAGATCACTTCTGTGAGGTAGCTTGAACAATCAATTAATAAATAACATAAATTCTTCACTTTTGGACTTTATTGCAAATATAAAAAGTCTAATATAAAAACAGATCGCACTTCAACGTAAAATACCTGGCAGGGGTCTATTTTGCCTCGGCCCCCAAAATGCTTAGATACGTCCCTGGGCATGGGACTGCGCTGCGCTGCCGGGCTGCGCCAGTGACAAGCGCTGCAGCGGAGGCAGCGTGAGCGCGTCCACACGTCATGCTCAAATAGAGACAGAACTTACCAGAGAGAAAATGAACGGACACGAATGACTGCGTGTTAATTGTTTATTTTTGGTGACGCCACTTAGAAACTTAGAACATGTTACTGTGGCCGTGTGCAGAACACAGCTGGAGTTCATGAATAATCAGCGGTCTGCCTGCTGCTCTGCTCTAAAGAATCCCCGCTACGCTGAGTCCATATAAATAATATAATAAAGGTAGAAACTGGACCTTTTTTGTGCTCCTTCTGGGTGTGTAAGGTAGGGGCATCAGGGGAGCCTGACAACATTTAAGGAGAACCAAGTTGCTCTCCTGCAATTTGAACCCAGTATCCGAGTCTGGATCGGGAAGTAAAGCCCAGTCCTGATCAGTCTGAAACCATGTGATCGGGGCCGATTTCCGATCATGGGATCAGCTTGGGACATCCCTAGAAATCATTACTAGGCATACTGATCAAGGATAATGGGCTTTGCTGGTCCAACGCAGTCAAAGATCCACAAGTCCACCATTGCCAAAGCACACGGCTCTGGGAGCGTTGACTCAGCTCACGGCTCAGTCTCGTGCTCCTGACCGGAGACCAGAGCGTCGACAAAGGAGGACTCGTGGATCTTTCACCGCGGTCGACCAGCGAAGCCTGATATAGCCTCCGCTATCCTTGGTCAGATACCCAGCAACCACACCAACAAGTTATATTCAATCCATCTTAGACCAAGCAGTGTTATGGTAAACGCATAGAATTTTCCCCCATTAAACTAGCAAACTATTGACAAGAAAAACATGGTTGACCGACTCAAAAGTAAAGCAGCATCAACTAAAAGAGATGCGGTGTTTCTGTGGTCTCCCTCAGAAATCCACAAGTGACCAGCATGACTACAGCCTCGCATGGGAGCTGGTCAGTGCGTCGGTTACCCCGGGTAACATGAACAGCCGGACGCCTGCTCCAGCAACTCTTCTGGGGCAGGAGACAGAAGACAGGCAACCGCTCAAGTTTCATATCCAGCCAGCAGCCCCACTAACATGTTTGACCGAGCGGTTAAACAACGCAGCATTCCCCCCATTCAACCAGTGAAATAAAATACAGAAGTATCAATTTGCTTACTGATAAAAAGAAGCAGAAACTGCTTGGATGGTTTATTAGTGCAGTCAATGGTAAATGGTAAATGGCCTGTATTTGATATAGCGCCTTCTAGAGTCCTGGAACCCCCCAAGGCGCTTTACAACACAATCAGTCATTCACACATTCACACGCTGGTGGGGATGAGCCACGATGTAGCCACAGCTGCCCTGGGGCGTACTGACAGAGGTGAGGCTGCCGAGCACTGGCGCCACCGGTTCCTCCGACCACCACCAGCAGGCAATGTAGGTTAACCACAGTTTGTCCAAATAATTCCATGATTAACATCCAAACACACAGACAAAACAAAAGCTCAGAGTCGAAATGGCCAAACATCTACAAACGTGAGGCCCAGGCTGAGGCCTTTCTCTGGAGCTAGCTCTGAAATCGCGCGGCTCTGATGCTCAGTAATTATTTGTCATCACCCTCACCTTATTCTGCTCCTACTCTGCCTTTCCCGGGATCCACTGATTTTCCTCTTTCCTATTTGTTTTCTCTCTCCCTTTCCTTAAAATTTTTGATCAAAATTTTTTATTTTTTCTCATTTTAAATGAAAAATCTTGACAGGTGCTACATAAAAACAGTTTCTTTCTTTCTTTCTTTTTTTCTTTCTTTCTGTCTTTCTTTCTTTCTCTCTTTTTTTCTTTCTTACTTATTTTGAATTTTAAGCATTTAATTACACTTAAAGAGTTACAAAAATGCCCCCCCTCAGAGTCGTCACTAATGTAAACTAGATCTATTAACCTTAAAGGGTTTTTAATCCAGGCTGTAATTATGTTTATTTCTTTTGTGAAATTTTGTTGAGTCAATGAGGATTTGCTCACTTCTGGTGCCGGTCCCTAGTGGATGAGGGTGGAACTGCAATTTTTCAGCACCACAATGGCCCTTTGGGATCAAGTTCTTCCATTTGTTACACCTTACTCCATTTTTCTTGAACATTTTTTACTTGACTCAAGTACACAAAGTGATTTCAAAGCTTAACTTGTACATCCACGTCAAAGCAAAGTAAAAAATTACTTCAGATAAATTGCACCGAGGAGAGTTTTACTTTGAGTGAATCGTTTGTAATTTACAGTCTCAAAAGATAAAGGAATGTTTTTTTTGGATAATAACTATGCCTCTGAACTGATTTAATCTATGTGAGACTTTGCAGTCTGATGAACTAAACTATTTCCTTTTTTCTTCCCATGATTGGTTCATTCAAAGCTCAGAACACAGAATCACTCTGTCTCAGAGGATTTGCTGTAATTTTCTCCTCCTTCATCAGAAGGAGGAAACAGATGTGAGAAAGAACACTTTCAAGGTGACCCAGCTTCAGAAAGGATGAGTCAAAGCATCCGGATGAAAAGGATCTGATTCAAAAAGAGGGAAGCTGAAGGGAGGAGAAGAGGGGGCTGAAAGGGGAAGTGCAGCCTCTTGGCTAATGTTGCCAAAGAGCTTTAAACGGTGCAATAAAACACGTGGTGATGGTGAAAGCTCTTTTTAGGTTTGTAGTGGGCAGCCCTGAATCACGAAAGATCAGCCGTGACTTTCTGACGTCACGTGAGTGTAAAAGTATAAAAGCCGCCGTCAGAAGTGTCTGAATGAGCTTCATGAGCTGCAGCTGCCTTTAAGTTCTCCTCCTGCACTTCAGCAGCAGAACACAGCAGACAGCACTTTTCTCCTCTCCCTGATGAGGGGTTTCTTGCTCTGAATCATGGCTGGAAGCAGAGCTGTACTGATAATTAAAATACGAGGACTAGAGGATCATCAGAATAAAGAACAGTGTTGCTCATCCGCAGATAAAAGCTGGAAACACCTTTGTGTTAGACAAGCAGAAGGCTGCGTCCTTCACACACACACACTGGATGTCTGTCCTCTATTCCTCCACAAAGAGTCTCTCCTCCATGCTCAGTGGCTTTGCAAATCACAAGAAAGAAAGAAAAACACATCAAATCTGATGAATATATTTGTGGACGTGTTCATATTTTATATTTACCACCCTGGTGCACCATGAATGCCTCACTGAACACCTCTTCCTCCCTCTTGCTGCTGTGCTCTGTGATTTATTATTGATCTGAAGGTTGGGTGTTTTCAGCAGAGTGCATGCGTGTGTGTGTCTGTGTGTGTGTGTGTGTGTGTGTGTGTGTGTGTTTGATGCATTTAAATCCAACCACAAATGATTCACTCTTTCTGTGTATTGACAGATAAATTGGCATCATGTTCAAGTGGTTAAAAATGAAAGCTTGGGAGGAGAAAGTTCAATT